CCCCAAAACCCCAAAACCCCAAAACCCCAAAACCCCGATTTTCGCTAATACAGAGAGTTGAGGAAATTTAATTTAATATTGAAATTAAAATGATTTGCATCAATCCAAAGTAAAATTATTATAATAATGAGTTCTATAGCATCAAACACAAGTTAGTCAACATCCACATCATCGACTAATCAACAGTAGTCGCCCCAGCAAAACAACTCGAACTCATCTCAAACTTAAGTTTAAAGAATCCAGAGTTGGATGATGCCTAAGAACCTGTCTTGCATTTAGGAAGCAGATGAGTATAATGAGGATAAGACTGAGAGTGTCATTAACAGAAGCTAATTTCAATTTATGTATGGTTAGGGTGATTAATCTAAACTTGGATCTTAATTCGATGGGAATAAGTTATCACCTCGAAACTTTGATATATCTTATGAACTCTCTCCACCTAAAGATGGAACATCTTATACTAAGCAGACAATGAAGATAAATGAATCATGGAATGCTAATAATATCTCAAGAATTACAGGCGCAAAAATGGACATTAGCTCCTCGAACTTCATTGACGATTCAAAGATGATAGAGATGCTTCAGAACGAGAATGAAAACATATTTGAGGAGATAGATATGGGATAGATTGATGAAGAAGACAGGTAGTTTTTGTTGATTGATAAGGATACTGGAAGAGTTTACGACATGAGAAACGAAATGCATCTCTAGAGATTGCAGGAGAAATAGACAAGATTGACTGGGGATGCAAACTCATCGATGACAAACCAATCTTAGAAGGCATGGAGTGACTGGTGGAAATAGAAGAGAGGAAATAACTAAGACTTTCTCTTTGCAGCTGAGTATGGGAATCTGGAGGAGGTTAAAAAACTTTTAGATAAGGAAAAATTACAAGATTTAGTAGCTGATGTAAATACTAAGGGATTAGATCAATGGACAGCTCTACATTTTGCAGCTAATGAGGGTAGATTAGAAATTGTCAAGGAATTACTTCTCCATCCAGATCTTGAAAAAGAAAGCTTAACATCAATCATGAGAGCTCCCTTGCACCTAGCTGCGATAAGAGGGCATACAAATATAGTAAGGGCACTTATAAATGCTAAAGTAAATAAAAACGTCAAGGATTTCGATGAGAACTCTCCTCTTCATTATGCAAGCGAATATGGTCATTTTGAGTGCATAATATACCTAATTAAGGAAGCAGATGTAGACCCAATGACAAAGAACAAATTCGGATATACTCCATCAGATATTGCTCAGAATTTCTAGATTAGAGAGCTGTTCTAAAAACTCCTACCTCATCTTTAGCGATAGAGCAGTTAAGAGGAATAAAAATGCTTTTACGGTAGAACAGCATTTAATGGCGTTTTAAGGCATAACGATAGAGTGAATAGTGTCTAAAAACTGATGCATGCCTACTAAACAGTTGATAAATTTTTGCAAACAAATAATAAGTAAGTTACTTCAAATACATAACTAACATTTATTAGCAATGAGGAGTTATTGATCTAGAAATTAGAGGAACAGGAAGCAAGAATGGCAGGAAAAGTGGTAGAAGATCATAACAAGATTCAAAAGAAGATAGAAAAACATGAGAAGAAATGGAAATAAAAGTTTATTAAGATTTGGTAGTACAATGATGAACTGTAAAGAGAGCTAGAAAATTCTAAGAATAATGACATTGAGTATTCAGTTGGTCCTCATAATTTCTAAGCTGTAATGAAACTAGGACAAGGAAGTTTTGGCCAAGTTTATTTAGTTGAAAAGCTTACAGTGAAACCAGATGGAACTATATAAAATTCTGGAAAAACCTATGCAATGAAGATATTGAACAAAAAGCAGATATTGGGTAATAACCTAGTAAAGTATGCCAAGACTGAAAGGGATGTGCTTTCTTATACCAAGCATCCATTCATAGTTGGCTTGAAATATGCATTCTAAACTCCAGAGAAACTATTCTTGCTGCTAGATTATGCACCTGGTGGAAACATGAGCAGATCTTTACATAAAGATAAGAGATTCTCTGAGGATAGAGCAAGAATGTATTTAGCAGAGATTCTACTTGCACTAGAGGATCTTCACAAGAGAGATATTATATTCAGAGATCTGAAGCCTGACAATATAGTATTCGACGAGGATGGCCATGCTCTTCTCACTGATTTTGGTCTCTCCAAGGAAGGTGTAATGACTAACTCTTAAGCAAGAAGCTTTTGTGGATCACCTGCTTATCTAGCCCCAGAAATGCTGAAAAGATCTGGTCATGGTAAATCTGTAGATTGGTATTTACTTGGATGTGTGTTCTATGAAATGCTTGTAGGTATTCCCCCTTATTACTCTAACAATAAGTAAGAATTTAATACTTTTATATATTTAGGGACCAACTATATCAAAACATTTAAAATGGACCATTGAAACTTCCTAATTTCTTATCCGATGAAGCAAGAAACCTTTTGATATCTCTACTGAATAGAAATCCTTACAAAAGATTAGGGTCTGGCAAGAGAGATGCAGATGAAATAAAAGAGCATTAATTCTTTGCCCCAATAAATTGGGATGACGTTTTACTAAGAAAACTCAAAGTCCCTAAGCCTTACCTCAAGAAACTAATAAAGCAAGATTTTCCAACAGAAAAAGTCTTTGGCAGGGGAGCCTTCGATGAAACCCTAAAGAATTAGAATAGACTCAATGATTGGAGTTTTGTCAAGAAGTGAATACTCTCTCTGTTCTGCATCATCTAAATCTATCATAATATACATCATCTGGTAAATAATAATTTTATTGCTTTTTTGTTTACACCTACAAAGTGGGGTTTTGGGGTTTTGGGGTTTTGGGGTTTTGGGGTTTTTGGGG